ATCACTGATGATCGGTCCAAATTGATGTTTCGTTAGTTAGAAAACGCGATTTTAGTTTTCGATATAAATATAATATCACACATTGGCGAATTGAGCCAGTGACTGTTTCCACAGAACATCTTTTCGTCAAATTTTAAGTAGAATTTCGCGATTCGAATCCGTGGATATCACAATTGCCCATATGATAAATAAAGTACCCGAGGATGGCTGTGTTGGTAAGTACAATCAATATACATGTTTTTTTTTCATGGAACGAATACAAAACATAGTTAGCGTTAAAGTTTAAAACTCATGTTCATGTTTGGGTATCAACGTTTTATGAGCAAAAAACGGATTGACCATGACGTCATAAAAACGACGTAAATATAAATTAGCGTTGAAACACGTTTCACATAGTTATCTTTTTTTATAATTCATCATAGATCTTAGAAAGTAATGGCGCTGATCCAACAGGTGGCACCGTTGTCCTGATAACGGACGGTACTGAGAATGAACCGCCAATGATATCTACTGTAATAAACACACTTGTGGGTGCTGGTGTCGTTGTGTCCTGTATTGGTATTGGACCAGAAGCAGATGAGCAGCTAGCGTTCATTGCTTCCGAAACAGGCGGTTCATCCTACCACCATGTAGACGAGGACAGTGTGGCAGATTTATCTCAGATATTCAACAGTGTTGAGTTTTATCGTTCTAATAGTGACTGGAACATGGCTACCTTACAGGTACAGAATTCATACATATTGTTTTGGGGTCACTTAGTAAGTTGTTTTTTTTCAAATCGCGACACAGAACGTGGGTTTACAGTCTGTTCACGCTTATAAATGTGCCTGGTTCATACCATCCAATGAACACAGGCGAGGCATTTGCATAAAAACAGAAACATGTAGAAATTAACATGATTAAAAAATAGGCAGGAACTGTTACATTTACCCCTGATATATTTGTTTGCATTGAACAACTTGTGGTCATGAGTTCAGGATTGTCATATGAAGTATTATAAACATTGCCAGATCTTCCAGGTGGCGCTATTATACTATTATACACAGAATGAGAATATATTTATCGTTAAATTCAATATTAGTTTTTGCCGCCAAACTCACTTGTATATTACAAAAAATCACACACTGTTCTGAAACCTTACAGAAGTACAGAGTATGGCATGCCCAACAATGAGTACGGTAGACACTCAAACGCAATACTTTCTCGTGAAACATGCGTTGAACGTGTACTTGGATATCTCACTATAACTGACACTGACAAACGTAATGACGTCAGTTTGAATTGTGTGATCTCGTCTACACATGTACACGTGACCTTGCATACGTATATTAATAACAAGTTACAGAAGTAGAGGTCAATACTCAGTTTTAAAGACCCGAAGAAGAAATTATTGACTGAATAAATTAACACAAAATCAATCGAACGTTGGGGTCTGTTGCAGACGACGTTTTTTGCAAACCACGCACGAACAAAACTAAATGGAGAACACTGAATTTTCATTATTGAATTGATCACCACGTGACCACGTTCTATTCATTCAATGTGACAATCTTGATCATGAGGTATAATAATACTCTTAATTGAAATCCTCTTTTTTCCAGATTTACAGTGAAACCATAATTTTAGCTGCATCTGATGTAATTGGTGGTAATTTTTACATTGATTCAACCATTGGTGAAGGTACCACTATGACGGTTTTCTGGAAACAGGACAGTGCACCCATTGACCTCACGATTAATGACCCAGATAATGACGTCATAGACGATTCGTATTCGGGGTATGAAATAAAAATAGATTTCAAGATGGTGGAAGTTAGGATTGCCGGAGTTGCTAAGGTAGATATTAATAGATATATTAACTCAGTAGATTTTTAATTTTGTAACTTTAATAAATATTAAAATTGTGCCATTATTTTTGGTTATTATTTTCAGACGGGTCGCTGGGAGTTCCACGTGACTAATCCTACAATCGAAGCTCTGACACTCTCAATATCAGTCAATTCCAAACCGACAGAGGGCAGTACACCACCACTTCATGTTAGTCCCCATATTTTAGTAAATAAGGTGAATTTTACGGATACGCCCTCACCGATGATGATCATATCAGCCGAGGTGCTGAGAGGATATGACGCAGTGATTAACGCTAATGTGACGGCCATATTGCGTGTATCGACCGCATTAGATGATGGGACCGTAACTGAAGTGTCAACTTTAACCTTGAAAGATAACGGTGCAGGTAATGAGTGTATGTCCGTAAAGCTTCATTTGAAGCCATGCACCCTATGACGGGTGGGGCATAGGGAGTATGTCTATCAATTAAGTACGGGATATACAAGTTCAACTGACACGGTATTCGCAAAATATCTGACGTCATGCGTTTTCAGCAAATTGCCGAAACTTTAAATTTCGAAGGTTCGTCATATTAGAGCGAGAATAACTCACTATCGCGCGCGGGTTTTCTGATTTTGAGAAACATTTCGGTGTTTCTTTCTTTCTTTCTATACTTCCATGACAGTTATTGTACTCGAATGAACATCGAACATTATGTACTTTCTAGGTTAATTCACAGTGTCATTTGCAATGACTGAAACGATGTACTGTTATTGATAAAATTCCTCCAGTCTTGACCCCTCGTTTTGTTTTCGTCCTACGTTATATTTTTGTCCATTTTGAGGCTTGGAACATATCACCTATACGGCAAAGACCTGTGTAAACAAACTCACACAACATTGCATTTTTCATGTACATTATAGGTGGTGATTTACATGAAGATGATGGCATTTACTGTGCATTTTTCACTTCATATAGCATCGACGGTAAATACAATATTAAAATCATAGTGAACAATGAGGATGCTTCTGCAGGTATTGTCTATGACGCTGTAAGGAACAGAGGACCAGAAATACCTACCGGTAAACTTATTATTACTATATAGCACATTATCTAATTGATGACACTTTTTTGACGTCAATTAACTATGGTTATTGTGTTGTTATCGTATCATACGTGTACAAGTCGTATTTGCGCAAAATCTCTTGCCGGGCGATCGTTTATTGCTCATCGTATATGTTCACATTGATTTGCATGTGTACAAAGATGTACATTCATATTGACCGGCCTATGTACAAGGATATAAATTCATATTGACTGGCCTATGTACAAGGATATAAATTCATATTGACTGGCCTATGTACAAGGATATAAATTCATATTGACTGGCCTATGTACAAGGATACAAATTTATATTGACTGGCCTAACAAAAATCTATATTCATACTGACTGAGGCTTATACATATCATCTATATTTTATAAAAGACGGTGAACCAAATGAACCAATCACAGAGCCAGCTGAACAGTTTACACGTATTGCCAGTGCCGGTTACTTCTCCGTTTCTGATCTACCGCCAAACATGACGTCACACGACTGGTTCGCCCCGTCCAAAGTGACTGACCTGAAAGTGACCAACATATCAAGTGAAGAGCGAACAGCTGTTCTATCATGGACAGCCACGGGGGACGATTATGACCAAGGCACAGGTAATGACGTCATCGTAAAATGATTATTGTATTATAAAGATGTATTTGGAAAGTTGACTTTGAGTGAGACGTTAGCGTGCGAACATGACTCGTAAAATCAAACAACCTGCAATATTACTGGCATTGAATTGCATATTTACCAACTTTGATTTACAACTGCTTATTGTGGGTACTGTAAATACGAATAATATTAGTAAACCAAACACGCGTATATACGAGATGTTGATACACTAATATATTTATATGTTTTTATTTCTCTTCTCTTTTATTTCTTCTTCTTTACAGCTTCATTTTATGATATCCGATTTAGTTCATCCTTCAGTGAATTACGTAATAGCTTTGAATCGACGTCATCAGTAGAAGGTCACCATGGTATCGTAGGTGGATTGCACGCACCGCAGAACAGTGGAAACAACGAAGTGATCACGCTCGTAATAAACAACAGCGTCATCACCGGTCAGCGAGTTTGTGTTGCACTGCAGGCTGTTGACGACAGTGGACACAAATCTGAAACTTCCAATATTGTGTCAATAGTATTCCACTCTGAAGAGCCAATGCACATGCGCAGTGACCAAACTAAAACAATCATCCTTGCATCTTGTATCACTGTCAGTATTGTAGTCACGATAATTGTAGTACTTTTCATTATAAGACAACTGAAAATGAAGGCTTCGATAGCTGTCGGAGTGTAAAACAAATCCATTTCATGTCATAAATATGGTGTGGTATTGCTGTGGAATCTATCGATATCGATTTATTTGTTAATTCTGTTACGACGGTAAACAGTAACAATGAGTAATCCAAATTAAATATAAACATGTTAAAATTATAATCGAGCAAACTTGAAATTATAATAAACAACTTCAGTTTTTGAACGTGTCATATATAGTGTTGAACACATGTATTAATAATCTAAATTCAATATTTGAATAAGTCACGAATGACGCGAGATAACGTATAATTAATGCCACGAGACACATGACTCGCGACATTTCATTTAGTGTGTCGGGCTGCTAAAATGCACACATACTGTGTGTTTGCCTTGCAACTAGCAACTTTCTCATTTTTTGAGGTATGTTTCTTCCATAAGCGCAAGGGGCGTCGTCACCTACGCATGTGTCAGATGGTCATAGCGTGTCATTGTTTACAAACAAGCGTCTACCTATGAGCCTTTGCGTTTTCAGCATGTGTTGTTATTGTAGCTTAGAACTCAATTCAAGCGCGTGCACAGGTGACGACCCATATTTTTTTTAAAATAAATATTTTATTTTGATATTGCTATCACAGTGTATCTTTGTATATAGCACAACATTAGGACTGTTAATTATGTGAATTTGTGACCTTAAATATGAAACGTAAACTAATACAAGATGAGGGTCACATGACATCACACATGGAAACGATGAGAGCTCATTTCGAACTTTTATACATAACATGAAATAAATAAATGGGTGACCCATTTCACAATAAACACAAGAATATAATAACAATACGAGAAATAAAGAAATGAAGTCACTATCCCTGTAACGTAACATTCAAATATATGTTGGTATATGTACTATTCTTTCATATGTCTGTAATCATTAAGCAAATTCCACAGCGCCACCACCGCCTAATATGAATTATATATCAGATTGATGACAGAACTTGGTGATAGGTGGACGCATGCCTGTCCTGGACGAAGTGAGGTCCCTGATAACATCAATTTGAATTAAGTATTCAATATCAGTTGGTTACATTGGTGTGTTATTGATCAAGATTTAGGACAATATTTGGACTGTGAATCGATGTGGCTTTGTTGGCATATTCATATTCGTATTTGTAAGGGAACGAACTTAAATGACTTCAGGGAGAGTAATTTTTTTTTTCATTCTGGCACTTGTCTGTGTATCTTTATACTGCCGCGCAATGCCAATTGTTATACCATCATTGAACCAACTCCGTGTTTTTATGTTAGCATATTGAATGTTAAACATAGTGTTAATAATTTAATAATATAACCTTACAAACATGCCAGAATCACCACGATTTATGTGTTATGGTCTTTTAACTGACTCGTCGAGTCTCCCACCTGTCGCTGATTATGAAAACACACTTAGCTGACACGCAGCAACACCACGCACACAGTTTATTCAACAATTGTTACTTTAAATTAGTCATTATTGAAAAATACATGGTAAGACATAAACACGTTAGGACAACATTGACATAAAAACAATCCTTCGCTGAACTACTAAAGCCCTGTTAATTGTCATGAATTTGTTTTTGCGTATCTGTTGGTCGACTTAATTAACTGATTATTAGCGAATTGCTGTGTTATGTCTGTCATCGTGTAGGCCTATTTGAAGTTTTGGACGGAACTTGGCTCAGTGATTTGGAACTAATTACCTAATAACCGTCGCGATTCTGACAGTTTATATCCGTAGTTATTAATGTAGTGAACGATTAATCAAAAGATATGACGTATTCAGTACTTAGTGTGATTGGCTTTATGATTGAAGGTTACGCCCTAGAGTCTTTTACTGTTTTGTAATTGGTTAGAGTTTTGAAAATGAATAAAGAGAGTTTGAGTTGGTCTTGGCGAATACTCCACGACAGACGCAGTCCGAGAGAGTCCAGGGGCGAGCCTTGAGGCAGTCCAGTCTTGGGCGAGTCTTGGTTCAGCCTTGTGAGAGTCTTGGGGACTTTTCCCCAGGGCGCTGTGTCTTATAGAGTGCTCCAAAAGATCGACTAAGACGAGAGCTGAAACGTATTTCGTTGTGTGTGTCTTATTTGACTGTAAAGTTAAAGTGATTTTCCCGATCCCGTACCTCAAGGGGACGAGATAGAGAGACGAGACGAGATTCCCCCCTGACAAGTGTGGAGAACCCAGAGAGAAGAGAATTTCCCCCTGATATAATCCCCAATGTGTGATGTAATGTTACCAATATCAATGTCATCGCAACACATATACCAGTGCCAATTTGCATGATATGTTTCATGATTGGATAACGTTACTGTCATTGACATTTTACAATCACCAATTCCCTAAGTACCATAAACATCGTCAGGAAAATAATTCCGACATATCGTTTGTTTTGTCTGATATTATATATGTCCACACAATACAGGGTGATGTGTTTACCTAAGGCTGGTTTACCCTCGATAGAAATACTAGAAGTCTATTTGATACAAAAACACTAGAAGCAATTACACAAATACACATATGCAGTCAGCGTCGGGCATAGTCCAACATCAACAGATTATCGTCTACTCTAATTAAATTTATTTATTTGGACGTGTTCTATTTCAAGTGGAAATGTGGCGTCTGACAATAACAGTGGAGCAGTTTTCGTGTCTGAGAAGTGAAAAGGGTTAGGGTTGCAGTTATGTACGCAGCAATATTAGTACGCGTATAAGCTCCCCAAACACCTCCTTCATCGAGATTTTTTCTGACAATGTTACAAACGATTTAGTCTCCAGTTCTTGAGTGTTGACGCCAAGAATTTGGACACAAGAACACCGCATTATTGAAATATCTTTAAGGGTTATTTCAGCCTAATTGATAGATCAATTCCGAATGAGTGTAAAAGTGACTCTTGACAATTTCTAAATAATATATTTCGACCATTAGCTGTCTTGCATATCAATTCAATCGTTTCTATATATTAGCTCTTCTCTCGATGACAATTTTTCCTTCAGTTGTACTGAATCAAACTCAGTTAGAAACATCGAAATAAAAAGATTCAGGAAACCCCTGTATGCACATACTTCCGGTATGTTATTATAGAAATTGATGGCTGTCCATCTATTGGGCCTGGAGGGAAATAAAAACAGTTTATTTTGATTAAATTCGCACTATTTATTAGTTCAGAGATACTTGGAAATGTGGTGTATGTGAGGCATGTTAATTCATTGAATGTAAGATGTCTTTATCCAAACATTAGTATTTATATACTGATTAGAGAGACTAACACTACATGGAATAATACATGCCTTTCAATTATATTGGATCGTGTTATTTGCGTAACGAAATATGTTGTTTTATATTGTTGTTGGCATTGGATTATATTATTACCAACATATTCAGAAGATAATTCATTCCAAAATATGTCACTATCATTCAGACTTGCATTTACGGCTGATCGTAGTCTATAGTCGTACTATAGGAGATTTTACATTCCAACCAAGGTAAAGAATTCCAGGTGAAAGGTTAACGAACTAAGGAACACAACAAATACTTGTTTTAAGATTCTAGCGAAAAAAAATAGAGAGTCAAAGTTCATGTTCAAATGGAAATTATAAATCTCAAGACCCTGGAGATGTGTAGGCGTCCGCCGAACGAGGGCGTTACGTGAGCAATATGTTGCACATTTCATATATTCAATAAACACAATTACCACGTCCACACGGAGTATCTCGACCACGCAGAGCCGATGTAATTCAAGTTAGGCCTATGTACGCTCTCTATAGTTAGTTCCGCGTTTGTATAATATTTACCTACTTGGTTAAAAAGTAGCTACAATATGAATAAACATTGTCTACAATTATACCCTATCTGAAGTGAAAAAATCATGCTCGTCTAAACCAATAAATACACATACCATTCGATACCAGTAAATACACATCTTTTTATATAAACATGTATTTATGTTTGATCACACTGGTATGAGCACCCTGGGTATTCATCGTCAACCAGTATCAGTCGTTTATGTCTGGGACCGGCTTCTAACTTTTATTTAGAATTTAGAAGCGTGCGCAGAATCTGATCAAGTAGATTAAGACAGCGAAAAATCTGTCACTTGTACGCCGAATGTAAAAATAACATTACATTTGTTAACATTAAAAATCGTTAAATTTGAAAAAAATGAGCCAAATAAACACACTCTTCGTGTGAGTACGGTTATGTAGCACTGCATCACGGGAAGGTGTTCGCAACATTTGCTTCTGCCACCGATCGAATGCGGAAATTACGTCACGCAACTCCAACAAACACTAGAATAATATACACAATGGACGACTAAATTTATTTTCTTTCTGAGATTCCACTCTGATTTACATCACCGGTATAGTTATTAATATAAACATATCAGCATGTATATAATAATGTAGGCTATTACGGACAATTCAATATTCACGTGATGATGAAAGTAGTCTATTTTTTCCTATATTTGGAGTATCTTTCAGTTAGAATTTATCTCGGTATCAGCTGCAGTCTATTGATGTTAACGTAGTAAACACAATTTGACGTACATTCATTGCCAATCAACGCCACCACGTGACATCGTGATGTTACACCTTTCTATTGATATATGACGGACATAGATAACCTATCACGGTAATCTCGTCTCGTTATCACGTGACACCGAAGGATGAGGCAATGTGTCACACCTTTTCTTTGATATATGGCGGACATAGATAACCTATCACGGTAATCTCGTCTCGTCTATCACGTGACACCGAGGGATGAGGCAATGCGTTACACCTTTCCTTTGATATATGCCGGACATAGATAACCTCTCACGGTAATCTCGTCTCGTTTATCACGTGACACCGAGGGATGAGGCAATGTGTCACACCTTTCCTGTAATACATGACGAACATAGATAACCTATCACGGTAATCTCGTCTCGTTTATCACGTGACACCGAGGGATGAGGCAATGTGTTACACAATTCCTTTGATATATGACGGACATAGATAACCTATCACG